GTAAGAAATATTGATATATCATTGAAAAAAAAATCTCAAAGGATGAAGAAACAACATTTCAGACAGCAATACCCCTTTAAGATAACTTGGATGCCATCTTTTCACTCGCAAATCTATAATTTATTTTACTCGAAAGCGGCGAGTGGAATATCATCCCGTTTTTACAGCAATTGTTGCATAACCGAGAATCTCAATTTCCACCATTTCTTTTTTTTCGCGCGGCAACTCGGAACTCTAAATGCACAAGAGATTGTACAACGATCCGTGTTAACTTCCAAGAGAAAAAAAAAACCACCCCTTTCGGCCAAGAAGCAGCTAAACGACAACGATCTATACATTAAGTGATTATACGCTACGAAATGCCGTAAAACGAAACTTTACAAGTGAGGTATTTACAATGTCGCTCAAGCGGTCAAAGGGGGGCTCGCCCCGTTGAAAACCTCTTTGTACAAAAAACGCGAGTGTGCAGAGGATTAATGGCGACGTTTTGCAAACGACTAACGGCACGGTTTTCGTGCAATTGAAAATAAAAAAAAAAAAAAAAGAAGAGAAAGCGAAACGATCGACGAAACACGCACGAAGGAATGTTCACCGCGCCCTCTGCTGATCGGCCTCAATCAATTAACATTCGGATAACGTGTCTTAAACTTTATTTTATATAATAACAATAATAATAGTCGCTAATAATAATTAATTAAAAATTAATAATATATATATACACAAATATATATATATATATATATATATATATAAATAAATATATATATATATATGTTATATTATGTATATATTATATTCCCTACGTGTATCGTTACAATCGGTATTATTTCTTGTCTGTTCCAACGTAACACGGATTAATTTATTTGTATTTTTTTTTTTGTTTTTTGTTCAGTGCGCTAATATCAAAAAAAGAAACAAGTCGAACGTTTTTTTTTTCACGTTTACAACGGTCGCGTTGTCGGTGTTAATTCTCTATATATGTATAATATTAATAACGCAATCTGCACCGGACAAATGCTTCGTTCAACGACAACGACTCGCGAATACGAATTGATCGTTTCATTCACAGAGACAAGGGAAGTTCTATTTCACAATATCGATGATCGTCATCTTGATCGAGTATCTGTTTCTCGGTGATGGAATTGAAATGGATCCTCGTACGACCCTGACGATCGAACAGATCGGATTCGAATTCACGACGACGGAACGACGAATGGAAAGTCGATTACCTGAATCCTCGAAGAACTCGAGCACAGGTATAAAAGAACAGACGATTATGCGGACGGGGAGAACAGAAATGCGTGGCAGATTTATGTACAGCGATACTTTGGTCAAAGTGACAGTGAAATTTTTAGTTTCTTTGCTTTTTGAGTGGACCGTATTAACACTTTAACGCACCGTGGTCCTGCGTTTGCAAATGGCGACGCAACGGTTAATGGCTGCAGCGAATGGACGGAGGATTCTGGTAAAAATTGAACGAGCAATCGTCGAAAACAAAGACGGGCAAAATTCTTATTTACCTAAGAATATCTTGAGCAACGAATAAGAATTAGAATTTCAATTATGCACTTCTTAAGAACAAATAATATTAACAGCAACGTCTGAGCAAAATTAGCTTTACTTCATTCGGATCAATAGAGAATTATTGCATCGATATACACACGATTGATGTAAATAAAACTAAGGTAGAACGATTTTTACTAATTTTTCCAATCTTAGACGTATCTTATGATTTTCAACAAGCAATAAGCAAGCTTCTAAAATCATTTTAATTTGTCTAACGAACAGCAAGTTTGCCCGCCTCTGACGCAGTCGCTCGCGTTATTAGCTCCAAATTGGAAATCTTCGTGCTCGAATTTTCATCAAAATCTTCGTTCCACTTACCGTCAGGCCTCGAGCAACTCGATGATTATCAATCGCCAGTAAATCAAAGCGTTTCTGAAACATTTCGCGTTCCGTGCGTCGCCATCGTTGAACCGTGTTGCGTAAAAAGTTCAGGCTTCGAGGCTCGAGTTCTTCAAGGCCCAAGTATTCCACATCCTGCTGGTGATCCCGTAACGATCGATTTGAGGGGGAAAACTAGCCGAACAGCTCGAAATGTCCCGAACGATGAATTAGAAACACGTTGTTCCTTGGGCGTTCGGTTTGCCAGCACTGAAATATTTACAGAGACTCTTCGGGGCCGTTGCAGTTCGTCGTATCGACCGAGGGGAGCCAGTTCTTCTCGCGAGAAATTCCTAATCGTCGAGGTCGATCACTGAGAATGTTACTGCTCGATAGTGTCGAATCGAAACAACCACGAGAGAGGACCGAACGACAATTTTTTCGAAGATTCCGTGATTTTCTGTAGGTCGTCTTTTATGTTTTCTGGGGATGCTCGATTCCGAATCGATTATTCTTTTCAGGATCAAGATCAATAGTTCTTTTTTTTCACGCTTCTACGTTTCGAACGTTCCCTAAGAATTATTTATCCATCGTTAATAATTGTTGCCAGGGAATACCTTTGCATCTTCTATTTTTCGAAGTGTTAGGGGATAAATGGCTGACGAACCGTGGTTAATTCGTTAACTGATTTCTGGTTAATCTCGTAATACCTTAAGTATACAGTGGCTTGTGAGAGTATTTGAACGCTATAACTGTTACAATTTAAACGGCGATCGTATAAATTGTATACTTGTGTACAATTCAAACAAAGACTGAAATTAATATTGATTCTTACGTATATTTCTGTTACTTTCTACATTTAAAACTCTGGACTCCAGAGCAAGGCTGTACCAAATCGAGCCATACATACCATTTTGCATTTTTCTTTTTATCACACACTTTTTGTCATACGTAACGTGATCTGAAAAAAGATTGTTAGCCCTGATGTATACAGAAGCTGAAGCAACGTTTCTGTACAGAAGCTGGACACGTCGGTAGATTAAGATTTTTGCAATCCCCGAAAATTGAGGAGAAAGTGTAATATAAGCGAAGAAGACAGCAGTGATGCGGATACTGTGTTCGATGAAGAGGAAATTTATAATGAAGACAATACAGAAGCCAACGGAAATATTCCAAAGATGAAATTGGCATTATTAAATAACAATATTAAATTACTAAATGTGAATAAGAAAATACGCAGAATAATGAGTACGTGGTTAAAAGATTCAGATAACGAAAACATTAATGCCTTCGGGGTCCTATTTACAAGTTTTTTCATAGTAAAAAAATAGAAACTTTTATTACATCATCATTTCGATGAGATAGATTGAGAAATAAAAAGCAAATACAAAAAAAAAAAAGGGAATGAAAAGTAACTGGAAAGCTAAGTGCATAATATACAACGTCCCAAAGCTATAATCGAAAGAGTTCTAATTAAATATTAATATAAAATAAGGCGCGCATAATTAACAGTGGGTTTCGTTATCGTGGAATTCCATAGACTGTTTAAAATATTTTTAATCATTAACATCGAATTTCGAGAAGGAATTAAGAAGTTATTCCGTCTTTTAAAAACCGTTTGCGATATTACATAGTAACAATAAACATATTAAAAAATATAACGAACGTTTAGAATATATTACTATAAAAGAATGTTAGTTGTATTCGTACCGAATACTTTTTATAGAGAAATACTATAAATTTGTTGAATAAATCATAAACTTTTGTATCTTACAGTAGTTACAGAATTACTTTCAGAACTTTAGTCTACCGAGCATATTTTTTAATTTGAATACTGTTCGAATACTTTCGCGAGCCACTAAATATATAGAACTAACACAATGATTTCGAAATATTATGTAAGATATAGTTAGTAACTAGAAAAATGAACCGGTTAAAAATCGAACATCCCTGTTTTATTCTGACCGCACGAGTATATCTGGCAGTGGACGCAGTTTGAAGTCGACGTATGCGCACACCTAACCGTCGAGGCTCATGGTGTTGTATTAAGTGGGTCGAAACGGAACGGAAAAACCGACTGCAAAACTCCGTTCGGATTTCGTTTTCGCGATTAACACGTTAAACGCCGCATCCAACGAGTGCTTGCATATCCACTCTTAGTTTATAGCCTATTATCTCCCCCATAATCGCAAACATTGTCGCTATACACTCGTTAGCCCAACTCTCATTGTTGTACAATGACTTTAATATTAATTAATATTTAGACACTATAGTATCCTATCATAATCAGCTTAAGATATTTCTCTATTTATGTTATATTAAAACATATATAGTCTACTGAATAGAAACGTAAATTTTATTTAAAATATTAAAATATGGGTTCAATGATTTACTAATGTATTATACTTGCATCGCAAAAATAATATTCGGATACTAAGTATAGTTTGATGTTTTTTGAATATAACTCTTCACCTTGATTGAATTGATCACCTGATCAAAATTCTATTTTGCTTTTTTGTTATAAAGTAAAAGAGCGGTTCGAGGCTTGCACGCTTTTTTTATACAGCGTGTTCAACCACCCCAGGGAAAACTTTTAATGGGAGATTGTAGAGGGCAAAATAAGACGAAAATCAAGAATACTAATTTGTTGATGGTAGCTTCGTTAAAAAGTTATTAACGTTTAAAGTTTCGCCCGTACTGAATTTTTTTCTAGAAAGTGGGTAGGATTTCGGGGGTAGGTCTATTGACCAAAAATGATTGTAATTGACCCCCGTAACCGAAAATAATTTTTCCAGAACGATTTGAAATTTTTTAATTTTGTCAACAAATTTCACACCTCGAATTTTTTTCTCGAAAGTGGATAGGATTTCGAGGGTATGTCTAATGACCAAAAATGATTGTAATCGACCCCTGCAACCGAAAGTACTTTTTCCAGAACGATTTGAAAAAATTTTTTTTCATCAAAAAATTTCAGTACCTAACTGAATTTTTTAATCAAAGTGGGTAGGATTTCGGGGGTATGTGTATTCACCAAAAATGATTGCAATTGATCCCCGCAACCGAAAATAATTTTTTCAGAACGATTTGAAATTTTTTAATTTAATTTTTTAATAACTTTTTAACGAAGCCTCCATCAACAAACTAGTATTCTTGATTTTCGTCTTATTTAGTCCTCAAGAATCTCCCATTAAATTTTTCCCAAGGTTGGCCGAACACCCTGTATACCCATATTTAGCTACGCATAGTATAAGTAATTCTTAATATTTTCAGTTGAAAAAAAATGTCTATACATAAAACAGTAATAAATATGTGTTCTAAAAATCATAGAAGAAAGTCACATGGTTTAAACGAGGATACAGAAGTGCAGTGCAATGATGGATGAAATACTATAATGTCTGAATATTAATAAGTCTGATATCAAGCTGTTTCCTTACATAGCGTAACAATGACTGATCAATCGAACTTATCATTCTCTGATAATGAAAATTATAGAACTTAACAGCATTTTTAAGTAAATTGAAAATACATTCGACTCGAAGAATCGTCTTCTAATGACGTTCTTTTATTTTTGCGAGCAACAAAATATATTATCGAATCGAGCTAACTCGGTATAAATGTACTGTTGCTCCACGGTGAGTGCTCATCGCGTCGCCATGTTTGACGTAAACGGAAATATCAACTTGGCTCGGCGTTTAACGTGTTAAAGAGTAGCGTACGTGCCGCGTTTCTCGTTCACCATACGTCGTGGGGTAGCAAAGAGGGCCAAAATGATGACACGCGTCGTTGTGAAATAATGAAAAGATGAAATCTTGATCACTCTCTTTCGGATACATTACGGTTCCTTTTATCTAGGCTACCTGCTTTTTCCGTTTAGTTTTCTTTAAGACTCTTCTCGGTAATATGCTTCTCTCTTCTAACATTTCGCTAACTTAAAAGTCCTGCAAACTGTAGACCCAGAAAAGGTGTACTCAGAGGACACAAGGTCTTTAGAAGTATGTATTTTTTCAACAATCGCGTACGTCTTATTTTTATTACGAAACTGTTGTAAAGCCACGTATCGACATTCGAATAACATTTATATATGATCTTCTGTTTTCTCAAACTGCATGAATTATATGTACAAGCGAACGAAGAGTGATCCCTTATAAAAGAAAGAACATTTTTCTATTTGTCACTTAGTTCCTCGCGCGGTAAGTCGATTTTTTCTCGCGAAAAGAAACTTTGGATCAAGATTTCATTGCCCCTCCGAAGAATAAAAAACTACTAAGGGGGAGAAGAGGACAGCGACGAGATCTGATCTCACGATTAAGTACGTCCTTTGCCATCGCCGTTCACTTGTGCTTCTCGCGAGGCCCTTCTTTCCAACGGCATGAGAAATCGTCGATCTCGCAATTGCTACAACCGATTTCGCGATTGTCTGGATACCGAGCAACAGAAGAAAAAATGTCTCTCGAACACGGATATGAAAGGAATCGAAGATGGTACAGGGTGCTTATAAAGTCTCGATCTATTCGGGTCGACGAATAATAATTACGTAAAATTCCATGCAAACTGAAAGTTCAAATCTTTACACGATTTACACTAAAGTACACGTCGGGTGTGCTCACAAATTCAGTTTAATACACTTACAAATTGTTAAATAATCCATTCAGATTCAGGTAAATTCATATAATACAAAGTCAATATAGCGATCAACAATCCGTTAGTCTGTATCTCGTATTTCGATATTAGTATTCGAGCTGAACACGATGGAGCCACGCTTCGAGTTTCCATCGTACGCGACTTCGACGCTCCCGAACGAAATTTTCGCACATAAACATTAGCTACAATAACGAAACACAACAGAAGGTACCACGATGATCGATCACGCATACAAAACTGCAACAAGTGGCCCAAGGAAACGCGGGACTGTACAAACACCCTGTACAATATTTTCGAGCGTACGCTCGACCAACAAACATTCGGATGACAGTTACATACAAGAAGCGTTAAGTCACAGTAATCTCCGATGCTTTTTCGCTGGCCCCTGAATACCTCGTCTGGGGTCTCCTCGGTTCGAGAAGGCTCGTTTCCGAAGACGAACGGAGGCCTTCGAGCAAGGAAACGAAAGTAAGTACATTCTCTATTGAGACAAGAGCTGTTTCAAGATTCTAAGAACGGCCAATGTACGTCATAAACTCACTATTCTCGATTCATCGGATAATTTTCTCAAAGGACGTCGAAGCAGACGCAACGGACAAGCTGAAGAACCGAAGGCGACGTTTACCTGACGACAGTGTCGCTAAACTGTATCAGGCCTTTTCTTATTCACGCGTCGGGAATATAAAATGTCTTAAGTAAAACGTACTTCGGGGTATTAGGTAGGAAAGTATGACGTACAAATGGAACGAGGCGATCAAAGAACGAAGACTCTGGGTTGGCAGAGAAGAAGTTACCGAGACACGAAGGCAGCCTCCAGGGTTCCTCCATCCGTTTGACGTCAGATCTTGTCTTTGGAACAAACTGTCCGCTTCTACTTCGTTAAACTCGGGTCTGGACAAGACCACCAACGATTGCTAAATTTTCTACCGGAATTCGCGTTCTCGTTTCTGCGTGGAAAATCTTTCAACGAAGAAACGGATGGAACCTATGGATCGAATAATTCTTTATTAAACCATCAAGTACTCTTTAAATATCTGAATAATTCACCTGTTCAGCAAAATTCCCAGCCTACTCGCCGCGAAGCGTCCTTCCTTAAACCGTGTCCTTTTTCTTCGGATACCAGGATCCAAACGACAGGATGGAGGAATCCTGAATAGCCTAGAAGTACCAAAGCCTTTTTCCGATCATCGAAGGTCTGATAGAAACGATATGCTCTTCGCTTGGCTGTCTCGAAAATTCATCGTATCGGGTTAGTCAAGATCCACGCTAGCTTCTGTGCTCGGTTCCTTGGCGCAGAAGCAATATAATCAAGGGGGGGGTTGGGGGGGTGGGGCCACTTGGTGCGCAAACGCGTCATTCGTAAGCGTTTCCGCCCCGCGAAGAAGCCCGCGTGAAACGGACGGATGGACTGAACAGGTCTCTATCTTCCGAACAAGCGTTTAAGTACTAGTAGCTCTCTCTCTTTCTCCCACTAATCGGATAGAAGACACCTCGAATATCGCATTCTCTGAAAGTCTGAAGTCACGTCGGGGCGGGAGAACAAGGACGAGAAAGCGAGAGGGTTTCGTCCATTTTCCATTTCGAGGGAACGGCAAAACACTGTACACAACTTGAGAAGTTTAATAACTTTGGTCGACCACTCGGGGTGTATCGGATCGCCTTAAAAATCGCGCGACTTCCACGGCCGTGAAACTTAGATACGGATACATCCAACGCGTCGTCTACGAGTTCGTGTTTTCTTTTTTTTTTTTTATCCATTTTTAAATACTCTCGACAAGTTTCGACGCGAAAAGAAGAGAGTTCGAAGAGTAAGAAACGGCCTCTCGATAAAGGCTGGTACACGAACGTCCCCCGGGACTTCCGTCTGAGAGGGAAAGAAAAATACTGTACAGCGTCCAACGTGGACAGAGTTGATAGCATTATAAAACAAGGGGCTCGTACACTGTGTAAACCCTCGCGACGCCGAGCGAACAATCGCCTTAAAAGTGTAAGAAGTAAAAAAACGCCGGTGGCGCTTGTGAAAGTTTCCTTTCCTCGTACAAAAAACGGAACGGGGCGACCACCGTCCAGAGGCCTCGGCGTGGGACAAGGTCGGTGGACCCCGACGGGCCTCGTACGACCGATCAACTATCCGTCCCCAAGATACGTGAGATAATAAAGAGACGCGTTTGCTAAAAGCTCGCGAACGCTGGCTGAGTATCATTCGAAGGACTATCGATAAGTCGCGTTTAAAAAGAGACGAGAACAATACGACGTCTTGCCTAGGGTGGCAAGGCAAAGAGAGACGAGACAGAGACCGTCTACGAATACAGTAAGTTCATCGTCGCTCGAGAGAGTTCCCGAGCCGCTCAACAAAGGAGTAAACTAAAAAAGAAAACGAAAAGCGGTTCGAAAAAGATAGACGCAGGAGTTTGGGGAGGTTAGTAACGAGAAAGGGGGTAGGTCGGGGGGTGTACAGTGGCGACACGCAAAGCTGCCTTAAATGCTGGTCTCATGCACGAGCTTCGTCAATTCCGGGATGGCCAGATTATTGGAGCTGAGAAGCGGGGAGTTTCCGATGGTGTTGTCTCTGCTGTTGCTACTCTGCATTTGCGTATGGTTGGGGCTCAAGGTGGCCTGGTTTAGGGCGCTACTGGACGAGGATCTATTGTCATTGGTGGTGTTGTTAATGGTATTATGATGGTTGTATGCGTTGCCCGGTCCTCCGACGCTGAGCAACAGCGGCGACGTCGAGCTGTTCACCGACTGCATCATCCTGGCTCCCGTATGGTCCAGACTCTGGTCGGCGGCCTTGTACGGCAACCTGCCGGCGTTCAGCGTGGTGTTTGTCGGGTCTTCGTCAATGTATGTGAAGTCAGATAGTGGTCGGGGCCCGGTGTGGCTGCGTGAGCTGCGCATACTGTGTAAGCTGTGTAAACTATGGACAGAGCGACGCTCCTCCAAATCTTCCAGAGTCGACTTGAACGCTCTGATTACTCGAAGCTGCAAAAACAGGGAACAGGATGTTCTATCAGGAAGCGAGGAGGCAAGCCAGCGACACACAAGCACGCCATACTCGTGTATCTCGTTGTGTGTCTCTAAATCTTGTGTCGGTGCGCGCGCGCGTCTATGTGTACGTGTACGTATTAGCCAACAAACGTGTACGTTCGTATGGCGTTTTCGTGCTGTATTGTTCGTTCTGTACGATGGCGGTGGTGCTGTATACACGTCGTCGTATTCGGCCATTCTGTGCTTTCACGTTTAACCCGGTTCTTGCGGGGCTAATATGTCTGTACGTTTGTTCGTATACGTGTGTCTGTGTATGTATATGTGCGCGCACGTGTGTGGTTCGTTCTCTCTAATGGTGTCTCTGGTGCACATTGGACTGTTCTCTTCGACGTGGACTTGGTTGCATTTCACCCGAGTTCAGACTTAAATGACTGCGTTCGGGGGCGAGTGGTTCTACCGCCTAGCCTAGGTGGCGAACTTATACTGTGGCATACATGCGCGCATCTACCTTACTGTGCGTACCTACCTAGGGTGGCTGGAAAAGCCGGCGGGGATTCGCAACGGGGGCCAAACAAACGGGATAGTATCGAGTTGTTCGCTATGTACCGCGACAACGATTCCAAACAAAACAGTTCCTTCGACGTCGATCAAACCTGTTCCCGAGTCTGATCGACTTCCGTTCTCGCTAACAAAGCGCTAACAGACTACTTAGCCTAGAACAATCTGCGTCTCGCTACGTGCAGACTGACTTCCGCGAACATAATCATCCCTATTCTCGGCGTTCCAGTTGATCGGTTCATCGTCCATGAACGAACAAGGTAGAAGACTCGAAGCAAGAATAAGGACACTTCTGGTTAACTTTCGTCGACCCTTCAGCCCGGTTTCTACCAACAGAGCACCAAAAATTACATCCAAACTTAAAAGTTAACGCTTTGCAAACGCACCCCAGAGTTTATTTAAACGGTAGAACGATTTGATTCCAGACTGAAGAGTTAAGAGCCTGCCTCGAACAACTTGGAATCGAGACAGGTGTCCCGGTGACTATGGTATCTTGCGCGAGACAAATAAAAACACGTCCCTTGCGCGGTTTCAAGCACTAGAAGCCTGCTGGATTCTGTCCAATTAGGAATGGTCCGCGACAGTCCTGAACCGAGCTAGAAAGTGGAGGCTAATTTTGATGAAGCCACACGCTTGAACCGCGACCTATCGACGATCACGAGGATCCGTACGACGAATAGAAAGGAAATAGAATAGCGTGACCGTTTGGCAAAATAGAGTCAGGCGGAAGTGTTGAGAAAGGAAGAGAGGCAGAGAATGTACACTGTGAAGAGAAAAAGACACATAGAGAGTAAAAGAGTTACAGACTGAGAGCATTAATGAATTTTGTACTAATTTGATGGCGATGCTGCTCCGATAATTTCCTTTCCACGCTTGTGCTGGACGTGTCTTAGCTTACAGATTACAAACCGTCCGTTAAAAACTTCCTTATTTCTGCGAATCGGTCGTGGTTTCGGACCGTTCAACTTTACAAGCAAAATTCACGAAGTCGTTTCGTTGCATTCGAGAGATCCGAGTGCATTGTAAATCCGTTATCGAAAGCACGATTTAGCTACGAGATCAATAAATGGTGTACAACGTGGGCAAACTGTTACGAATCCGAGGGATCGATTAACTTGCCGCGCGAGCAACACAACTTCAACTTCATCGATCCCCGTTCGTCGTCGTCTCAATTTGCATTTGGTAGTCAGTTCCCAATTCCCAAACTCGTTTATAAAGCCTAAAACGATCGACTATTCTAATCGCGGATCCGTCGGTTCTACGAGACCGAGGACGTCGCTGTGCATCGGTAGACGAGCGAGAAATACTTTCGAGTATCCCAAGCAGTCTGCTGGCAAGTAGATAAACGTTTCCTTGCATTCGAGCACCAACAACAAAGACCAGTCTCGGCGCCAGAAAGTCGTTGGTAGTCGAATATTCTTCTGTGCATTCGTAGCGCCAGAAACGGGGGGATTCTTTTTCGTTGTGCTAGGTCCATTCGAGACCGAACGAATGTACTTCTTCCCGTGATCGAGCACTGGAAACTGGGAATTAGCCTCTTGAACTCCAAGGTCCGTAATAAGACGCACCGTGCGGATTGGACTCGTCCCTCGAAAATCGGTACCGGGGACGTCTAATCTCGCTCGACCGATCGAGAACACGGATCACGATCGTTCGAACGAGGACGCAGGACACCGGAAGGGACCAGATTACACGCCGGCAATTAGCTGTTACAACATCGTAGGTAATCGTACACGAGCCACTAGAAGCTTCTGCTTGACGAGACCCTTAGGAGAACGCGCAAACCACTGCAACAAAGTCAACCTTTCTATGCCACTCGCGCGCAATGCCGTGTTAGAGGGTCGGGCAAACACAAAGTCGATGCAAACACTGGCAATCGTGCACACGCACACTCGCACACCGAACGTGAGAAACGAATTAGTGGAACGGATATCGGGATATATTATTGAGAGACGAGACGATGACTACCTACGATCTAAACGATGCAAGAAAAGAAGGGAAATCGTCTGCACGATCCATGCAAATCCCCTTCACTTCTTAGGATTTTGGTTATTACTGGGTTTACCAATCAGAAACCAAGTCCCTGAACAGTGGAGGGTATTACACAAGGTGTTTGGTCACTCCTGGGAAAAATTTTAATGAGAGATTCTGGGGGGGGGGCCAAAATGAGACGAAAATCAAGAATACCAATTTGTTGATTGAGGCTTCTTTAAAAAGTTATTAACGTTTAAAGTTCCGCCTGTAGAACGGCAATCTGCACTATCATGCGCACGCAGCTGTTCGCAGATAGCCGTTCTACAGGTGGAACTTTAAACGTTAATAACGTTTTAACGAAGCTTCAATCAACAAATTGCTATTCTTGATTTTCGTTTTATTTTGGTCCCTAGAATCTCCCATTAAAATTTTTCTCAGGGGTGGCTGAACACTTTGTATATTTAACAATCCCCTTCGTCCCTTGTGTCGTTTAGCTTCTAATGTGCCAACATTTCGTCTCCCTATAGCACTTATGGTTGTTTTTCTTGCCCCCCCCCCTACACCCCACCATAAGGTAGACAGCTTCCTTTTGCGACGAACAATAGCGTCGATCATCGAGAACCAGCAGCGCTGCTCGGTTTTTTTGGCTCAATAAATATTCAATCCACTCAAACTACTTGATAACCCTTATACGAAATTGGTTTAAACAGAAGTTGTAAGGTATAAGGAAAATATACGCTAAATGAACGCTGTGGCCTTCAAATCTCAATAGAAAAGTAAAGTAGAACAGAACTAATTACGACAATGTATGTTTTTTTGTACTGCCTGCAACTTTTGTTTCAAACATTTTCTCATATAACAGATGGGTCTTCAGTAGTTTAGTGGTGCATCATTTTGTATGAATTGGTTAGTATTGAGAGCAATACTAAACGCAGCTTTGACCTTTCTACAAATAAATATAATTAAGACTCTTATAATAAAAGTGAAACAAGTAGTATTACAAAAAGGAAGAAAAGATAGATTTTAACAGCCGAACTTTGTTTGCTTATTCTTTGAATGTAAATAAAGAAAAAATGTTGTATAAATATATGTCGTTTAGAGTTTTCAATAATGGGAAAACGAGATAATAATGCAATAGTAAGACTGCAACAGCCTAGATAAAGATAGTCTAAATGTAAATGTTTATATTCAGTCTATCTCGATCTCCCACTTATAAATATTCCTACTTGGATAAATAAAGTACTTTTTATAATTATAGATCAATAGGAGTGAAACTTTGCACACGTATTTGATCATGTTTCTAGATAACGCATTTAAATTGGTACAATATTATCTTTATTATTGTTTAAATAATTTCATGTAGTCTACGGTATGATATTTTAAATGACTACGTCAATTTGTTATTATATGAACCTGAAATAAAAGATTCGAATACGGTATTAATTTATGTACCAGCCATTGAAAATGAAAATCGTACAAAGTCAAAGTTATACAATTTTTAATTTCTTTAGTTAATATATGTATAAAATTTTAAAAAGATTCATCGATCCATTTTTAAGATACCACGATGGCCATTAAAAGCAATAGATTGCAGGAAACATGCAATTACTTGAGTAATAATGAAGATTACCGCGCGAAAATTATACTGCGTTACCTTGAATAGTGATTAAACACATGAAAAAAAGTTTAAAATCCTTACTGTGTAACTGCAAAGTAATTCTTTACTTTAAAAATCGACATCAAACGTTATCCATTCCACAGAGATCGATAGATCGAGAAGGACTAATACTATGGCCTCCAATATCGCCCAATCTCACGCCACCCACACTGTAACATAGTATTACTATTTTATATTTGTATTATAACTTTTAAATGAAGTTATAAATGTCATATGTTTACATAAAAATCTTTACACTTTTACATTCAAAGAATACGCTGACAAAATTTGGCTGTTAAATACAGGGTGCCCCGTGGTTTTCTGCCAAACTACGAGAATTTAATATAGAGATCAAAAGAAGAATCAACGCTTTGTTTTAGAGTTAAAACAAAGAATTGTATGAATAAGATAAGTAACGCATTTTAACCTTTCGATTAAGCTCTCACAGTTTGTATATAGATAAGAATACTTACAGATTAAATTTGTAAGAACAGGAAAATAGAAACACAGACGCAATAGGAAGTAAAGGATCTAAACTCTTTTAGTTCCTATCGATATCTACTTACCTTTCTTCCTGTTCTTACGAATTTTATTTTTAAATATTCACTTGTTCCACTTTTTTTACGACACGTTCTTTATTATATTTTTTTGCAAAATTTATAAAATTGTTGTCAATTTCTCTTCTCTTTCTCTGCATTTACAATTGCTCTTTATACACGTGGATGCAGCAATAAAATTTCCGTCCCGAGTTTAAATTATATCGATCTATAAGATGATCTTGAAGAATTCTTACTAATTTTTGTTG